AATCACTCACTGTTTCAACTATTCTTCTATATATTATCATCGATTATTCATGCACATTGAAGAAGAGACACAATTCCATAGAGCAACCCCACAAGAAGTGTCGACTTGATCGTGACACTCGCCGGCATCCTCCCTTTATCGCGTCTCAAAACCATGGCCTCATAGAATTGCACCCCATTTACAATCCCAAAACCTGCAATAAACATCTGCACAAAAAAAAACCACAAAGCTCCCATCCCTAAAGGCGCGCAGAAACCCAAAAATGAAGGCAACGAGGTTTACAATGGCTGCCGTTGCTAATGGGACGAAAATGGAGGAGTCAACCCCAAACTCGAAGGTCCCTCGGTTGTACCTTTCGCATAGCTCGTCATCCATGACTTTGCTTGTCACGTTGAACACATTGGCAGCCATGCCTAAGCGGCTGGCCACGTACTCTATAAGCCCAAATAGGAAAGACGAGAGACCTCTCAATAGCCACTTCCTCTGGTCACTCCACCACTTTAGTAATGTGCCGTCTGCATTCACGAAATCGAAGCAGTCTTGTGCATAGGCCCCGATGAACAGAAATGCGTACAAGAAGAATGTAGGTTCGTTGGTCTGAGTAGTAAAAAGACATATTAATAGAATTTTCAGACGGTAGATTGAAATGAATGATATTTTTTTAATTATAGTTATTATTAATAGTTATCCAATATTATAACTCCCCATGAAATTTCAATAGAATTGATTTCTGACACTTGCATTGATGGCATGTAATGAATTGATATTTTTTTAATTATAGTTATTATTAATAGTTATCCAATATTATTAATGATATTTTTTTAATTATAGTTATTATTAATAGTTATCCAATATTTTTTTTAATTTGCATTGATGGCATGTAATTTCAATATTATAGTTATTATGTTGGTAAGTTGGTTGCTAAACTCTTATTTAATTAAAATTTGTTTCTTTCTTTGACTGGCATCACATTGCCCAACTATCATGCGAATAATACTCCAACCTAACTCAATCAAACTTTTTTCAAAATTAGTTTGATTATTCAACAAATTCAATGAAATTCAAAGTAACTTATATCCAAATAATCCCAAACAAAACTAATCCCGTTGAAGTTGCCTGTAATATAATGCTCTTTGGGCCATATATGCATCGAGAAAGTCAAGAAATTCAACGGCAAAAGTCAATTAACAAAATTAAACCGCTAATTACCTTAATTTCGGCAGCCTCTGAACTCAAATCACGGGCCGACCCGAAATAAGCACCGGGGCACCGATCCGTAAGGTTATTCTCCCGGCAGAAGGGCAGCCACCGCTTCCCGAACTTGGCCGCCTCCATCAGAGCAAACACGGTCATCTCCGACCCGCCGTCGTCAGACACGTAAACCGACAGCTTCCCGGCGGCCGGGTAATCGTACGCCATGACCTACAGGGCCGTGTTCACGACCGTCACCGGCGGCTCCCTGTGCGGGTCCGCCGTGCATATGAATATGTCCACCGCCGGCAAATCCATCCGGTCTAGGTTTTCCGGGAACTCTTCTCGGCGGACGGGGTTGATGCGGAAGGCCTGGGTGGTGGACCACATGTAGGCCAGGATGAGATCGGCGATTAGGAGAGAGAACGAGGTGAGGAGAGAGAAAATTGTGGTGGAGCCGAGGATAGTTTGTGTGTGGTATCGGAGGAGAGAGAGTAAGGCCACTGCGTAGACTGCCGCGAAAAGGCGATTGACGTGGCGGCGGCGCAGTGGCCGGAGAGAGTTGAGGAGCGGCGGTGCGGTGGTGGTGGTGGTCATGTTTATGTTGTTTTCTGGATTAACCTTCTTCAAACAAATAAGGAAAATCTTTAGGCTTAAAGGAGTTGCCCATTTACAGGTCCCATTAGGTCATGGGCCGATTGAGGCTAGAGATGAACATTCAGAGTCAATGATATTATAGTTGATTCTGGATTCTAAAAGGTAAGTTCTATAAGTCGGCGATTCGCCGGACGACGCTATATGGTGCTGAATGTTGGTCTACAAAAAAGGAACAGGTCCAACAACTAAGTGTAGCAGAGATGCGTATGTTGTGTTGGTTTTGCGGACACAAGAAGGGATAATCCGAAATAAGGATATTCGAGACAGGGTTGGGGTGGCTCAAATTGAGGAGAAATTGGTTCAACATTGTTGAGGTGGTTCGGACATGTCAACGGAGGCCTCCTGATGCACCGGTGTATAGGGGAGTTCTACAGCTGGTCGATGATGTAAAGAGAGGTAGAGGTCGACCTAAACTCACTTGGGAAAAGTCGGTTAAGAGAGACCTTAAATATTGGAATATCTCCAAGGATTTACGGTGGATAGGAGCGCTTGGAGGCTAGCAATCAAGGTGCCAGAACCGTGACTTTTGCTCATTTCTCTTTTGTTCCAATCTCATTCTTTTTTTTTTTAGCCCTTTTTATGTTTCTCTTACATTGGTGCTCTTGGGTTTCATCTCTATCAATTCATACCCCAACTTACTTGAGAAAAAAAGCTATGTTGTTGTTGTTATTTATCCACCATACCAGCAACAGCCTATATTTTTGTAGTTCTAGTGTAGTTTACTTGATTTATTTGTTCACCTCAACTTAATATTAATTATTGGCCTAATAGCTTAAAAAACTCTTAACTTTTTACTAAATTGCAAATAAATATCAACATTTTTAAGTTTGCCATTAAATTCTCAACTTTTTAATTGTGTTGCATGTTTAAGCTCCAATTGTTTTTCCGACCTCCTCCTTGTTGATGTGTCCGGCGAAGTGATGATATGTGCCAGTAACAAACAACGTGGCTTCTTATTTCTGGAAACATACACATATGCATTTTCACTTCATAATTTCTTCCTTTCTTACACACTCGCCATTTCCTAGATTTTTTCCCTCTGCAACCCTAATTCGAGATTTTTCATCCTCAAATTTGAGGAGCTGGAAAAATTTGAGAACCAATATCAATAGAAGACGCAACGAGAACGACGAACATTCCATAAATCTCAATATAGGGTTGCATAGGGAAAAAAAAAATGGGAATTTGTGAGTGTGGAAGAAATGAAGAAATTATGAAGTGGAAATAAATATATGTATGTTTTAAGACAAAAAAAAAAGCCACGTCGGATTGTTGCCGGGACATATCATCAATTCGCCAGACACATCAACAAAGAGGATCTCGGAAAACTAAATCGAAGCTTAACATGCAACATAAATAAAAGGTTGGGAATCTAATGGCAAACTTAAAAAAAAAAAAATAAATAAATAAAGAGATTTATTTGCAATTTACTAAAATATCAGGGTTTTTGAAGCAATTATACCTTAATTATTACATTACATTACATTAGCTGTCGGAAAAATCTTTTACAAAGCATGCACATGGAGAATAAAATAAAACCAGAACTCAATCAAGAAAACCTCTGTATCATTACATATGACGCCCACAGGCAGTCCATGGCCAAGATTCACCAAAACTCAGCATCTAAAAAAAACCCAAAAAAAAAAAGACCATATACTTGAAGAAGTAGCGTTTCACCCGAGCAAAAGCAATGCCTCAATCTTTTATCTCACCGTTTGCCAAACAGATGCTAATGTATTTACATAAATACAGGACGAGAAGAACACCTTTTTCTCTCGTCTTCCTTCACCACAACACACAAAAGCCTACTTACTATTCACAAATTGTTTCTTCTACTCCATAAGCTGATCCCTACCCATGATCCCAGTCTTGTCACGGCCTGGAAAAAGTTGCAAAGTCGAACTGCAGTTAAGCTAGTTTTTCTAGTGAACTGTTACAACAATCAAAAGCCATATCTCGGTTAGCAACCAAACAATGTCGAGAGACACCCCCAGTAATCGACATTTTCTTGAAACTTTTTTAGCACAGCACACCAAAAACTGGTTCATTTCCTCTAAAGGACACAAATATGAAAGGAGATTTAAGCGTGGAGTTGGTCTTCACATTCTCCGGTTGGTAAAGGGAGCTTGCTATTTTTCATCTTCTTAACATCTTGGCTGGAATAAATGTAAATCCTCCGGACCATGTTACAGAATTCCCTGTGATGAAAAAAAATATCATATAATCACGCACGCGTATGGATAATGGACAAGGGACAAATTGCATGAGAATACGATTAGGTTTAGTCTAGTTTAAAAAAGAAATGCAACTATTAGATGAGCATGTCAAAAGCAAGAACTACATTTAAAATGATTTACACCTCTTGAAATATGTTAACATTCCAAAATTCTGCAGTGTGAAAATTGTTAAAGGAGACATGAATATCTCTAAGAGGAGTTCGAAAATGAAATAATAAAAGGGGGCATGTTCGCTAATTTCAAAAGATCATCGCAATTTTTTTTTATTTTTTTTCGAAACTGCAAGTTATTTCTTGTATTTATCCCTGTGATCAATGAGAAAACTAAAAAAAAAAAAAATATATATATATATAGGATGTGGTTAAAATGTGAACCAAGTCCTAGCGTGAGAACCGTGAGAACCGCTATTTTTAATTGTATGTAGTTCTATGATTGATTGTGTTTTAGTGCTATTTTTAACAAGGATGTATTTTATTAAAAATAGCAATAAAATTTTTATTAGCATTTGTGAAAATAATAGCACCATGCATGTTAAAAATAGCATCATATACAATGAAAGATAACATCAAATATGGTTCTCACGATTCTCACGCCAGACCAAGTTTTTATTTGAACCAACCATATATATATATATATGTAATTTAATTTTCTTCCACATATACATGATACTTACTGCCACGGATCATCACCCATGAGCATCATGTCCCCTTCGTCATCTGTAAACACGATTTCCCATTTATTTCGAGGCCGTAGCTCCCCCTTTATTTCAAACATATCCTCAAGTTCAGTTATCAGTTCATCATATCCTC